ACTTCAGCAGACTGCCAACATCCTACATGAAGTTTCAACTCCGTCCCGTGACTTCATTTCAATGCAGCATATAAACTATCTGGTCAATATATAAACAAATTCTGTAAGAGGGGAACAAACAAAGGAAATCCTAAGCATGCTTATTATTACAATCACTGTAACATAATAACAGAAGATGTGATATAACGGGGTTAAGATCTCTGTGGTATCGTTTATATTAATATGTACAGTTTATATTTGTGAATTAAAACATTACCTAAAACAAAAAAAAATATATGTAAGTAATAGTAAGATTAAGGAAAACGCAGCCGCCAAATAAACTACTTGCATTCAAAACAATAGCAGTTAAGACTAATTTGAGATTAAGACGGTTTATTTTAAGGCACTTGTGGACGGATGCTCAGCTCTTCCTCCGCGCAAGGTTTGGTGTCCGGTGCTGCCCCGGGGCCTGGGTCGCGGACGTGCCCTACGACTCACGTCCTTGGACTCCCGGCTCCCGAGACCTTTTCCTTAAATCCTTGTGACTTCCTGACGGGCGGCTCTCGGACTCTCGACGTCCCAACACGCCCTTTCCGCCCCCCCGGGGTAGGACACGCAGCCGGGGCTCTCGTCGTGGAAGCGGAGGGGGTCAGCGCCTCTAGTTTCTCTTGGAGGAGTTGATGAGGTACTTGCAGCAGTGCGTGAGGAGGTGCTTCTCCGTGGGCCCCGTGGAGTCGGAGCTGGCCACCTCGCGCGTGTAGATGTCCAGGCCGTACTGGCCCTCCTCGGGGAAGCTCAGCGTGAACGTCACGATGTCGTCGGCGACCCGGTGGCTCACGTACTTGCTGAGGCGCTTTTCCTCGGAGCCGTTCTTGTGCAGCGTGGCCATGAAGTCGGTGAGGGGCCGCGTCATGTGGAACTGCAGCTCGAGGTCGCGGCCGGCGAACACCAGCGCGTCCTGGTGCGTGATGGGCTCGAGGCCGAAGAGGCGCGTGGCCTTGGCGGGGCCCCACTCGCCCGAGGCGCAGTCCGGCAGTGGCACCATCACCGTCTGCAGGTCCTCGCACACGATCTTGAACTTGCACACGCTCTTGAACTTCATGGGCTCCCCGGTGAGGTACTCGCGCGGGGTGACAGCGTTGGCGAAGATGTCTAGGAGGAGGGCGCCCGAACACGGGGCGTGGACGCGGAAGGCCACGAGGCTGCCCACCACGCTCTGCAAGCCATGAAATAAAGAGTCAGAACGAAATGTCGCTTCCTAAATTCCCTTGGTGAAATGCTCACCTGCTACCAAAAATCGAATAGAAAATAAGAAAACCCCAACTCTGCTTAAGCTACAAATCCACAAGACAAAATACCACCCAATTCTCCAACGTATCTTAAAACAATCAAACAAACAATAAACCAAAGACCTCCTTCACTTGCCTGCATAACAAAGCGCTTGAGAGAAACGCTGTCGTACTGGTCCTTGTCGGAATCATAGAGCTTGAGATTGTAATGGAAGATGAGCGACGACTGCATGTGGCTGGGCATGCCGATCCGGATGGTAGCTGCGCCTGGAACACACAGGGGGAGTCAGTTACGTAACTTTTACTTTTAGTGCTTTTACGGACTGTTACTTTTTTGAGGGAGGATTGACTAAATATAAAGTATTCGTGGTGGAGAAATTTATAAAACTGAGTAGAAGGCGAAAAAGGAAGTAATGGACAGACTCTAATAATTGATTAGCAGGCGGAGAACAACAAAAGAAATCTTGCTGAACAAAATGTAAAAGAAAAAAAAAGCTGGCAAAGGAGGAAAAAGGATTCGTGAAGAATAAACGGTAAATAAAAGAACGACGGGAAGTACACGCGAATATAGTGTTTGTTTGTTTTGTTTTTTTGAGTGTCCTGAAGCAAAAAGACCACCGGTATATCTACGTTTTTTTTTATTATTATTCCCTTCCCTGTTTTATTTATGGAAATGTTTGAACAACAACAGTTCCTCGTGGATAATGGCATATTCATTAACCTTTAATTGTTCATTTCTCTTTTTTCTCTCTTTCTTTATTCATGTCTTATTCTCCAAGACGAAGGCCATTCAAGAACCGCCCTTGGTCCACCACTGGGCCATGGTTCAGCGTCTGAGAACTAGTCTAGGGGCTTCGATAACGTTCCTTTCTCATCACAACGATCCTATTCTTGAAGGAGTTGGTGGGCTTATTCATACTCTTATCATTATAAGGCCACTACCATTTTCCTTTCCTGAAGGAGGTAGTTTTATTCTTATTAGCCTATTATCATTTGGTCTTCCTGGAGGCAGCTAGTATTTTGTTTTTATAATTATTATTTTCAGTTAGATTATTGTGATCACTATTAGCCTTTTATTATCATCCCTTCCTAATGGACGCAGTTATTCCATTATCATTATTACTATCATTACCGTGATCATTATTATCATTATCATTATTGTGATCATTATCAAATTTGCTGACTAAAAAGTAACACTTGTTATGCAGTAACTTTGGGGTCCTGATTCCAATACTAATAACAGTTTTATATATCATGTCACGATTCGCCATAAAGTAATATCTGGGATAAGGACGAATTTGGCCAGAAAGAACCACCTTCCGGAAGCTGGAGCAGTGGGAGGTCTCTCGTTTGCCAAGGACTTTGACGTAGCTACAAAGGTATTGCCATGGTCTGTGGCCCACCTGGCTTCTCTGTGCTGACAAATTTGTAAACTTTACCTTATTTCTTGTCATATTTTTTGTGTGAAAGTTTACTCTCTTCATAGTCAGGAAGATTACTTTCCCGAGAATCCTGGGGCAATGGGTGAAGGAGAGAGGTTTCGCCAGGATATAAAAACCATGGAAAAGAGATATCAAGGGAGATGGAATATAAACTTGATGCCAGACTACTGCTGGTGCCAGAAAGAGATTCCACTAATACCACTTACTCCCGTAAATCCAAGAAGAGGAAATTCACTGTAAAATACATTCTATCTATATCATATTAGTACTCCCGGGATTAATACAATTGCACACAAATCTGAACTTGATTTTAAACGCTAAAGAACCGTGTTTCCGTGGTAATTTTCCATCCAAATGTTCTTCTGCGTGACTAAACTGGCACGTACAGTAACAACTATAACTATATCTAGAGTCAGGCTCTCTCAGAGATTCAGAGAAGCCAGGGCCATCACACAGGGCCCCCACAGTTATGGAAGGACCTTTTGTTTACTTGTCAAAATAGACGAGGCCCCGTGTAAGAGTGAGGCCTGGGAAAAGGTCCCTGACTGTCTCGCTGCTCTTCTATTCTGGCTTGTGTAGAGTAACGCTAGTATGTATAGTTAATACCTTTTCGATAAATTTGGAGCCAACGGCCTGTGTATTTCAATTGTTGTTATAAGTCACTGTAACTTTGTAGAGTCTCTGAGTAATATATTATTAGATATAACATACCGAATTAGTTAATATTTAAAATGTTTTTTTGTTAAAAAATAGACATGTAGTATAAAACCTGACTGCATTTATGAAATCAGGCAAGATCACTTTTTGTTTTAATCGCAGAATGTTTTTTACATGCTGGGTGGTCTTATCGTTATCATCATTATTAATCGTTTATCATTAACCTATTCTACACTATAGAATCTATCATTATTACCATTACCACCATCAACTATCGTCATTATCACCAGCCTTATCCTTTCTTCCTCCTCCTCTGCATTATCATCACCATTATTATCATCGTCATCACCATCTTCATCATTATTATCATCTCCATTATCATCGTCAACACTATTATCATCACCATCAGCAGCAGCATCACCATCACCATCGTCATCATCATCCATCACCGTCATCATCATCCTCAGCATCCCGTCCTCACCTGTGGAGTCGGTGTACATGACCGCCTTCGTGTGCTCGTCGGGGAAGTAGAGTCCGTATCGGAAGAAGAGCGAACGGACGAAGGGCAGCTCCTCGAACTCGTGCAGGCTAATGGGCGCCTTCAGGAGCTGCCACTCGGGTTGCAGCGGGAAGAACTCGTAGATGAACTCCTTCGGGTCCGTCAGGAAGTAGTGGTCGTCGTACTCGTATCTGCAGGAGGTTTGGAGTCGTTAGCAAGAGGTCGTTTTATGAGGGGGTTGAGGGACTGGGATTGTTGGAATGTGTTTTTTTAATGTTCGTTTTTTTTTTTTTTTTTTGGGGGGGGGGTGATTATAGGGGTGTATGTGTGGTTATATTTCAGTATGTTTCAGTGTTTCAGGTTGGTATATAGTCATTATTTTTTCTATTTTATTAGTTTTTTTTTCAATCTTGTGTGTTTATTCATCTATCAGTAAGTGGCGTGAGATTTATTTATCCGGGAGAGTTAAGAGACACCAAGATGCAGTTGTTGTTGTTGTTTTTTTATTTTTTCGTAGTTTAGATTGACAGATAAAGAGGATCTATCCGAAAAGCTCGAAGAAGCGAGAGTCAAGAAGAACATCTTTAAAGTAGGATCAGTTCCATTCGATCCTTTTTTTTTAAAGGTTCTGATCCTTTTTTTGCAGGCAGAAGGATCGTCACTTTCACCATTAGTCGCAGTACAGTCATTGGATTTAGGACAGCTTTAGTTCACTTATATTCACGGGACAAAAATTTAGCACAGAAACCTTACACATGCGAAGGAGAGAACTGCGTGACTCGGCAACACAAATTCGAAAAATGGACAGACGAGAAAGAAAATAAATAGAGGCAAAGTAGAAATAACAATGCAAAATTGAAGACACTGACACCAATAAACAACAACAAAAATATAGATACATAAAATTTGTATTGTTATGTGGTGCATAAACAGTGTGACAGTTTTCCTTTTATGGGAACATGTAATACTTTCGGGTTTTTGATAAAAACACATTCAATACGGTTGTCAAGAACTGTGTAAATATTTGATTGCATAAATTCTGCAAGGGAAAAGACACCAGACGTTTGAGTTAAGTCGTGTTGCAAGGGCAAATAATACATTGGGTCACAGAATATTCCGGTGCACTGTTGCAAAAAGCAGTGCAAAGAAAGTTTAGCATACTCCCATATCTGAATTTAGCTAGCATGCGTAGTAACAACACTGCGAAGGAAAACGTGAAAAGAAATTCCCTTTTTTTTTGCACAATCAACTTGCAATAAAGGCCAATATAATAGGGAGAAAAAAAGATAAAAAATGCCGATACAAGACAACACATCACGCATTCCACATACGCAATATTAAACACGACCAAACAAACAAACACAAAAAAAGAGGAAAGAGAAGAAAGTAGACCTGTCGTCCTTAAAGGCGAGGAGGAAAAAATCCAAGTGCTTACTTGAACCGGCACTCAAGTGTTGCCTCAAGCTCACCCTCAAGACAAAACTTCGAGTGTTACAAAAGGTTTACAGACCTTAAGCTATTCCTCCTTCCAAGCCCACGTGAGGTCTGCCTGTCCATGCAAGAGGTGGGTGTTAGTGGTACGAATAACGCTTGAAGTCTCTGCTACCGAGTGTTTTCTACAGGGGTTGTCTGTTGGGTTTCTATGGGGGTTGTCTGCTGGGTTTCTATGGGGGTTCTCTATTGGGTTTCTACGGGGGGTTCTCTGTTGGGGTTCTACGGGGAGTTCTCTTTTGGGTTTCTACGTTTTTTGGGGGGTTTCTACAGTTGGTTTTCTATGGGGGTTCTTGATTAGGTCTCTACAGGGGGTTTCTCAGATGGATTTCTATGGGGGGTGGGGGTTTCTGTTTGGGTTTCTACAAGGAGGTTCTCTACTGGGTTTCTACAAGGGGTTTCTCTGTTGGGTTTTTACGGGGATTTCGTCTAGATTTGATGTAATTCATTCAAAGGATCTTGTATAGCTTAGCCACTACTGGGTTTCTACAAGGAGGTTCTCTACTGGGTTTCTACAAGGAGGTTCTCTACTGGGTTTCTACAAGGAGGTTCTCTACTGGGTTTCTACAAGGAGGTTCTCTACTGGGTTTCTACAAGGAGGTTCTCTACTGGGTTTCTACAAGGAGGTTCTCTACTGGGTTTCTACAAGGAGGTTCTCTACTGGGTTTCTACAAGGAGGTTCTCTACTGGGTTTCTACAAGGAGGTTCTCTACTGGGTTTCTACAAGGAGGTTCTCTACTGGGTTTCTACAAGGAGGTTCTCTACTGGGTTTCTACAAGGAGGTTCTCTACTGGGTTTCTACAAGGAGGTTCTCTACTGGGTTTCTACAAGGAGGTTCTCTACTGGGTTTCTACAAGGAGGTTCTCTACTGGGTTTCTACAAGGAGGTTCTCTACTGGGTTTCTACAAGGAGGTTCTCTACTGGGTTTCTACAAGGAGGTTCTCTACTGGGTTTCTACAAGGAGGTTCTCTACTGGGTTTCTACAAGGAGGTTCTCTACTGGGTTTCTACAAGGAGGTTCTCTACTGGGTTTCTACAAGGAGGTTCTCTACTGGGTTTCTACAAGGAGGTTCTCTACTGGGTTTCTACAAGGAGGTTCTCTACTGGGTTTCTACAAGGAGGTTCTCTACTGGGTTTCTACAAGGAGGTTCTCTACTGGGTTTCTACAAGGAGGTTCTCTACTGGGTTTCTACAAGGAGGTTCTCTACTGGGTTTCTACAAGGAGGTTCTCTACTGGGTTTCTACAAGGAGGTTCTCTACTGGGTTTCTACAAGGAGGTTCTCTACTGGGTTTCTACAAGGAGGTTCTCTACTGGGTTTCTACAAGGAGGTTCTCTACTGGGTTTCTACAAGGAGGTTCTCTACTGGGTTTCTACAAGGAGGTTCTCTACTGGGTTTCTACAAGGAGGTTCTCTACTGGGTTTCTACAAGGAGGTTCTCTACTGGGTTTCTACAAAGGGTTTCTCTGTTGGGTTTTTACGGGGATTTCGTCTAGATTTGATGTAATTCATTCAAAGGATCTTGTATATTGGTAGCCACGAGGTTACGGATGAGAGGGTCATGGATAGTGCCGTTGACCTATGGCAGTGCTTGGATACATGGATTGGCATGGATTGACTGTTGGTATTGTCAGGGTGGATGAGGGTGGATCACCTTAAATGGCTGGAGAGAGGGCAGGGGTGGAGAAATGATTGTGTGTGGATTAAAGTGGTTCTTTAATCCTTTCTGTGTGTGTGTGTGTCTGTATGTGTGTGTGTGTAAGTGTGTGTCTGGCACCTTCTTTCTCTCTCTTTTTGTTTCTCTTTCTTTCTTTCTCTCTCTTTCTTTCTCTCGCTCTTTCTTTTTTCTCTTTTTTCTTTTTCTTTTTCTTTTTCTTTTTCTTTCTCTTTCTTTTTTTCTTTCTCTTTCTCTTTCTCTTTCTCTTTCTCTCTTCCTCTCTCTTTTGCTCTTCCTCTCTCTCTTACTCTTCCTCTCTCTCTTCCTTTTCCTCTCTCTCTTACTCTTCCTTTCTCTCTTACTCTCCCTCTCTCTCTTAATCTTCCTCCCTCTCTTCCTCTTCCTCTCTCTCTTACTCTTCTTCTCTCTCTTACTCTTCCTCTCTCTCTTACTCTTCCTCTCTCTCTTAATCTTCTTCTCTCTCCTACTCTTTCTCTTTCTCTTATTCTTCCTCTCTCTCTTTCTCTTACTCTTCCTCTCTCTCTTTCTCTTACTCTTCCTCTCTCTCTCTCTCTCTCTCTCTCTCTCTCTCTCTCTCTCTCTCTCTCTCTCTCTCTCTCTCTCTCTCTCTCTCTCTCTCTCTCTCTCTCTCTCTTTCTCACTCTTTCTCTCTCTTTCTCTCTCTTTCTCTCTCTTTCTCTCTCTTTCTCTCTCTCTCTCTCACTCACACACTCTCTCTCTTAGTCTCTCACTCTCTCTCACTCACTCACTCACTCACTCACTCACTCACTCACTCACTCACTCACTCACTCACTCACTCACTCACTCTCTGTCTCTCTCTCTCTCTCTCTCTCTCTCTCTCTCTCTCTCTCTCTCTCTCTCTCTCTCTCTCTCTCTCTCTCTCTCTCTCTCTCTCTCTCTGTGTGTGTGTGTGTGTGTGTGTGTGTATGTGTGCGTGTATATGTACTTTCTTCAACCCCAGTTAACCTGTATTCAGTGAAATATAGAAAATATAAAAATGTGTATACACGTTAATATGCAATGCATCTCATTACAGGGTGAAAACAAGCATAAAAGGTGTCAAAATCAAACCAGCTACAGGTGTCATGATCAATACAGTACCGCAAATCTAATTCAAGATTAAAAACAGTGATGATAATAAGAATATAATATCATATAAAGGTGTTGGTGGTTTCAGAATATACTACAGTATCTTTGGGCTCTGAAACGTGAAACTTAATTTAGGTGCAAGATAAAAAGATAAAAAAAAGGTTCATTCTTCATACTCTGCTTACTCTATGTGGAAAATACTTACGGAACTAAAAACAACGTTATTCAAAATATGGTAGATGAAAAAAAGACTATTTTGTCTATATGTGAATGATGACTTAAACGCTTTTCCATCAAGTAAATACTGGTGGAAGTGAAGTCAACATGCTTAAAGTAAAGAAAAAAATAGTAACAATAATAATAATAATAATCACAGTAATAATAATAAATAATGATAATAATAGTAACAATTATGATATCAATAATATTAATAATGATAATGATAATAATAATAATAATAATAATAATAATAATAATAATAATAATAATAATAATAATAATAATGATAATGATAATAATGATAAAATAATAATAATGATAATAATAATAATAATAATAATAATGATAATAATAATAATAATAATAATAATAATAATAATAATAATAATAATGATTAATAACATAACAATAACAATAACACTAAAAATAATAAAATTCATATTAATATTAAAATTGATATTAATATTAATACTAATATTGATTAATGATACTAATAATAAATGATAATAATATTGATAATAATAATAATAATAATAATAATAACAATAATAATAATAATAATAATACTATTAGTAGTAGTAGTAGCAGTAAGACAAAAGGAATATAAAAAATAAGAATATGAAGGAGAATATGAATGAAGTCTCAAAGAAGTCGCTAAGAAAGAAAAAAATAATAATTAATAATAATAATAACAACGAAAACAAAGTATTAATAATAATAACAACGAACAAAAAATAACAGGAATAGTAATAACAATAACATAAACAGTAATAATAATAACAAACAAAAAAAATACCAATAACAACAAAAGAAACAATAAGAATAACAGCAATAAACACAAAAAACAAAACACAATACCAATAACAACAGAAAAAAGAAAAACATTACTACCAACAACGCCTGTCCATCACGAGGCCCTCCCTACCCCCCCCCCCTTACCTCAAACTATCGCTCTTGCTCTTCCCTCCTGGCTTCGGCACCTCCTTGGCATTAACCAGGTGCCGCGCCCCCCAGTTGCACTGCACGAACCGCCACGCCCCCGCCACGTAAACCGCATTCCACGAGTTTCTGAAGCGGTTGTCCTCGAACTTGACGCCGGGCTGGTACCCTGCCGACTTGCTGTAGCCTTTGATCACAACGCAGTGCAAACCCGCGTAGCTGTGGAGGCAAAAGAGGGGTTTTAGATGAGGTTTGAAAAAGGTTTTATGGGGGGTTTTAAGGTAAATATAGGGAAGTAAAGGGAGTTATAAGCGATTTTTAGAGGGTTTAAGGGGGTTTTAAGGGGATTTTAGGGGTGTAAAGGGTATTTAAGGGCACTGAAGGGGATGTATAGTAGGTGTTTTAGATATATTTGTCCCTGGGAGATCTAGAAATGTGAGAGCGTTTTGGAAGTGATTTCTGATGTTATTTTAGTTTATTAAGACATTCATTTTTGTCTTCAGTCCTGTTTCATTATAAATTATTAATTATTCACTTCTGCTTGATCATTAATTCTCAATGAAAAATTATTAACAATTCGCGCCTTCTCGATGATAAATTATTAACAAGTAATTATCAATCATGCATTCCTACTTCGTTATTCAAGGACGAGTTTAAGTGAATTTAAGGGAAATGTGGGTTTTAGGTAGGTTTGTCCTTAAGAGAAAAAAAAAGGTTGGATTATTATATAATTTATTTTATTATTCATTTAGAATATCGGAAGTCATTTCTGCTGTTCCTTTGTTTTGACGGAAGGTGTTATTGTTTTGTTATTGCATTGTCGTCAATACTGTTTAATTACTTACTGGAATATGATGTTATGGATCTCAACAATTTTGAAATTATTTTAATTGAGACTCACAGAGATTTTCTTTTTCTTTATGTCAATTTTTGTTCATGTAGTGATCTCCTAGTCTATATATCGTCCCGCATATAAAATCAAACTTCATTTTAACACTATTAGTTCTCAAATGTTAAAATCTATCTATTGTTTATTACCTCATCCGCCCACCAACCCACCGCTTGCCCACCCACAACCGCTGCTCCACCCACCGACTACTAGACGCACGCCCACTTATTCACCCACAATCGTCTCTACCCACATCCAGGCCCACCTTAACCCACCAATCCAAAACTACCCACTCACTCACACCAACACCCAAACACATCTACCAACACACACCCACACTAACCCTAACCCATTCAGACCTAATGTAACCCACGGAAACCCACTTAGGTACATCCTCACCCAAACCCACTCAAACCCACCCTTCCTTTATTCAGTGAAATATAGAAAATATAAAAAATGTCCTTAAACCCACCCACACCCCTTCCCCACCCATACCCCTTCTTCCCAACACTAACCGACACCCCCTCCTCATCCCTTCCCCCACCCATACCCCCACCCACATCCATTCCCCAATCTCTTCCCTACTCTCTCCCCACCCCTTCCCCACCTTTCCCATCTCCATCACACCCCATTCCATCCCCCAACTCTTTACCCACATCTTCCCTTCCCCCACCCACACCCCATCCCCAACCCCACCCCTACCCCTCCCATCCCCCCAGCCCCACTCCTTACCCCACCATACCCATTCCCCACCCCTTCCTTCCCTCCACCCACACTCCTTTCCCACCCCTTCTTTCCCCCCCTTTCCCCCACCCACATTCCTTCCCCACCCCTTCCTTCCCCCTCCCATCTATACCCCATACCCATTCCCCACCCCTTCCCCCCTCCTTCCCCACCCCTTCCTTTCCCCCACCCACACATCCCCTTCCTTCCCCCCTTCCATTCCTTCCCCCCCTTCCCCCACCCCTTCCTCCCCACCCCTCCCACCCACACCCCTTCCTCCCCCCCTCCTCCCCACCCCTTCCTCCCCACCCGTTCCTTCCCCCCCACCCACCCACCCACACCCACACTCACCTGCAAAGCCTCTTGAAGAGCACGTGATAGGACTCCGTGCCGTACTTGATACCCCTGAGGAGACCCATGGGCGTGTCCCCGTGGGCGGAGTCGTCGAAGGTAATGGAGTTGAGGTTCTTGACGGTTATCCACCTGAAGATGGTTCGGGCCTTTTCCACGTCCGAGCTGCAGTGGCCCACCAGCATCCGCACCAGGTCCGTGAAGGTTTTCTGGTCCTCCTGGGCGACCTGTGGGGAGAGGGGGGGGGGGTGAGAGGGAGGAGGGGAGGGGAGGGAAAGGGGTTAATGTTGTCTTTCTCTTTTTTTTTTCCTTTTTCTTTTTTTGTGGGGTTGTGGTTGTGGGTTTGGTTGTGTGTTGGTGGTTGTGTTTGTGGTTGTGGCTGTGTTGGTTGTTGTTGTTGTTGTGTGTGTGTGTGTGTGTGTGTGTGTGTGTGTGTGTGTGTGTGTGTGTGTGTGTGTGTGTGTGTGTGTGTGTGTGTGTGTGTGTGTGTGTGTGTGTGTGTGTGTGTGTGTGTGTGTGTGTGCATTGTGAGCGTGTGTGTGTGTGCATTGTGAGCGTGTGTGTGTGTGCATTGTGGGCGTGTATGTGTGTTTCTTTTGCCCTCGATCTACCTATCTATCTATCTATCTATCTTTCTATTAATCTATCTATCTATCTATCTATCTATCTGTATATCCATCTGTCTAACTATCATTCTATTCCTCTCTCATTCTATCTCTATATCTAAACGTCTCTCTCTATATCTATCTATATAATGGAGAGATTAACATAATCTGTATCTATTTCTAAATATTTGTTTAATAATAACTGTAATATAACTCATAGATTTGCCAAATTTAACCGCAATCCAGACATTGTTCCGACCGACAAAACAAGCGACACATCCTTAAGCCGAAGCCGGAGCCCCACCAGCGCATTCGCATTCGCCTCCGCAGCTCACCTGGATGGCCAGCTGATCGACCTGCGCGAACTCCTCCGGATCGGTGTAGATGTCCAGCTTGGTCTGCGGGGGCGGCTGGGGGGGAGGGGGGCTCGCGGGGTAGTGCTCGAGCTCCTCGTCGTCCTCGAGGTACTCCGAGCGCTTCTCCTGGATCAGCCGCATCATCTCCTTGCTGTGCTTCTCGACAAGGGCGGCGGTGGCGGCCCTGTGCGGGGAGGAGGCAGGTGGTGAGAGGGGGAGGGGGAGAGGGGGTGATGGTGAGGGGGTGAAGGCGAGAGGGGAGGGGGAGAGGGGGTGAGAGGGGAGGGGGAGAGAGGG